ATGCATAAAGAAATATCTCTTTAAAAAAAGAAGAAGAAGAAGAACTACCCTGTGACTGGCCAATGACCTTTAGCCAAGTCCACATAACTTTGCTCCTAATGGGCTTTTCGGCCAATAAAATGTAACCACTTTGTTCCCAGCCCTGGTCCCCCGCAAACCTACATAACCTCATTTTCTTTCTTAATTGAAGATGTACATTTAATTTTATCTCCTACCTCCTTGCCAGTCGATTTGCAGAGCTGATGTCTCGTCTCAAACCCCTGATGTCATCATCTGCTTTGTGCACTTTGGGTAGAGACCCCTGTGTCCCTGGGTCAGCACTCAGTGTTATTTCTGGCACCTGAAACCTCCCTGACTTGCTGAGCTTCCTTCAGTCCAGTCCTGCCTTTGTTTTCTGTGTCTACTGCCGCAGCTTTTGATTCAAGAAGTTTCCTCCGAGGTGGGAGCTGCGATTTTTCCTAAATGCAAGTTGTTTCACTGCAAATTGTTAGATAACATATTTTGTACTTTCAAGCAAAATGAAATCCAAGGCATCCATCTGCAAGCCAGAAAGCATCCTGCCGCCCTGATCACAGCCTCCTGACCCGAGAAATAAATACCTGTTGTTTAACTCATGTTGTGGAATGTTGTTAGAGCAACCCCAGCTGACCAAGAGAACTAACTCAGTGTGTTACAAGATTTTTGCTAATTAGAGAGCTAGTACTATAATTCTCTTTTGTTCTGTTCTTCCTCGATGTTATAATTAGTCTTCTAAAATAGTAGAGCCAAATAAATAAATAAGAGGCAAATGTATTCCTATCTACAAGTAATAGGCAGTTATAAAATGAAATAAGATACATTGATTGTCACAGGATAAATGCATAGAATGTGCAGTTTTTAGTAATTCCATAAAAGAAATATTTAGTAATAAAATCAATGAAATTGTGTTTAAGGTCCAATGTCTATGGACATAATTAAAGTTTTACTGAGAGAATATATATAAATACATTGAATGTTGAATGTTGAATATAGTATATATTTATATGTATAAAACAAGCCTATGGAAAAAATACTCAATATTATAAAGTTGCCACTTCTCCCAAATTGATTTATAAATTCAAAGCAATTCCAATCAAAATTCTAATTTTTATTTGGAAATTGATAGTTAATTTGGAAATGGTCAATGAATTAAGACATTAAGTGAAGAAATGAGAGGCATCATTCCACCTGATATTAAAAATCATTCAAAATGAACACAGAGGGCCTCCCTGGTGGTACAAGGGGTTAAGCACAGCACTGTGAAGCTATCTGCAGCCCAGGGAGCTACCTACATGGCGCAGCAGACCTCCCCTGTTTCAGTCAGTCTGCTTATTCTGTTCCCCACTATTTCTGGTGAATCTTCCCACCCACACCCCCACACCTCTGGCCTGTACCCCAGTTCTTGTATGCATAAATTAAAAAAATGAACACAGAGTTCTCCAACTTTATAGAAGATTCCTCATGGCCTATGCAAAATTGCTCAGCACTATCAGTTCTTACCCTGCTGCTGTTAGATTTTGGAGTGTTTAGTTACTCCCTGACTCCACTCTGAGCTGTCTACCATGTAAGTGTGCATTCAAAACAAAGTTTATCATGTACCAGTTTAGATTAACACTTAGTGATAGAGATAGTTTACTTACCAAGACGTGCAATAGACGTAGCAGCAAGGGCCTTTCACTGTGTTGTTGCAACTTCCCTCTTTGAGACCCTGTGACCATCTTATGAAAAAATATAATCTGACCTCCTAGATGGATGCAAAAATCCTCAATAAAACACTAACAAAATCTGGCAACATATAAAAAGGGTGATACACCATGCCAAGTCGGATTTATCCCAGGAATACAAGGTTGGTTTAACGTCCCAAAATAATTAATGTGCTACGAAACAACAATAGAATAAAAAACAAAACCCAGGGCCTCCCCGGTGGCGCAGCGGTTGAGCACTGGGTTGCAAAGCTGCCCTTAGCCTCTGCAGCGCTGGTTCAATCCCCGGCTGCTCCCCGGCCACTGGAGGAGGGTCCCACATGGTGCGCAGACCTCTCCTGCTGCCCGCTGCTCCCCTCAGTGGTGTGCTTCGGTCCTTCTGCCTGCTCTGCTCCCCACTCTGGCTCTGGTGAATTCTCTCACCCTCCTGCGCTTCTGACTGTACCCAGTGCTTGTATAAATAAATAAATAAAATTTTAAAAAAATTCTCTTTGTATTAAAAAAAAAAAAACCCAGGGGATTATCTCAGCAAATGGAGAAAAAGCATTAGGCAAAATCCAGAGCTCTGTGTTCATGTCTCTTAAGATCCAGAAGGTGAGATGACACTGCCTCATACAGGCTTCCCTCTCAATTGGGAGGCTGTCATGGGACAATTTATTTTCTGAAACTGAACATTTGTGTCTTTGTCATAATTACTGACATCAAGGACTTAAAAGAGTGATCCCAGGGCTTCCCTGGTGGTGCAAGGGGTTAAGACACAACCTATGAAACTATCTTCAGCCACTGTCGCACGAGTTCGATCCCGGGCAAGGGAGGTACACACATCGTACAGCAGACCTCTCCTGACTCGTCTGCTGCTCCCTGCAGCAGTGTATTTCAGTCAACCCGCCTATTCTGTTCCCCACCCTGTCTCTGGTGAATCTTTTCACACAAACACACACACCCCGCCACCCACACCTCTGGCCTGTACCCCAATTCTTGTATACATAAATAAATAACTCTTTAGAAAAAAAAAAAGAGTGATCCCAGAGGCATGAAGAAACTGAGATAAGGAAAGCAGTTCAAGGAAATGGAAATTGTCCACCAAAATACTTTCTAAAATTAGAATCACCCATGTATCCTGGAGTTAAGACACGAGGATAATTTTTTATTAACTTTCCTATTTACCTGCATGCTGGCCCTGAGACTCTGAGAGTCACTTTTCTGTGGAATTGAATATGATGAACGACTGACTTTTCAACTGCCTAGCACTAAATCAAGCACTAGGTGGAAGTGATGGAGGAAGGCAGTGGGATGAAAGAAAAGAATTCTAAGGCAAGTCTTGAGCAAGCCCTGCATGAGATGGAACCACTCCAGTGAATAACTCCAAATAACTCCCCCTTTCACCAGGCTTTGAAGGCATAGGGGCTTGAGGGAAGTAAAATCTGCTCCAGATGAGGCTCGAACTCACAACCTCGGCATTGCTCACGAGCATACTGTCTTATAAGTACCGTCCTAACCGATGATGCCACTGGAGCCACACCAGGGACACTTGAGGATAGGGAGGAATGAATGGGACTGAAGTTTCTTTCACAGACGAAGACTTAAATACTCTTGCTAAAGCATCAAATGAGATCAAATAAACAGGTCACTTCTGATGTGGGAAACCAACAGAATTCAAAGCACCTAAACGATTCCCCGGTAGGACCCCGGGACAGAGGGGCGCTGTTATCTGGATTTTGACTTTTCTGCTCACATGACTACTTGGGAGATATGTCTGTCACCTGCACTCCAGTCGACGTTTCGCCGAGGGGTGGGTATTCCGCGTGTAGCGATCTCGCGCACAGTCATAGCTTCTGGATTCCCGCGGACTCTCCAGACTGGACCATCCTACCTCCCCGCACCTCCTCGGTGCCCCTCTCCCCTGCGCGGAGTCTTCTGCTTGAATTGCCACCCATCCCCCCACCACCAGCCCCTCGTTTTTTTTAAGCTAAGATTGTCCAAATATGTTTCCTTCAAAAAATCACTCTTTTTAACATATAGATGCAACACAGGTTCAGCGAATCAGAAAAACAATAATTATTTGAAAACTGTCTAAAGTCTCACACTCAAAGAAATCCATAGTTTCCATTTGTGGCATTTCATCTCAGGCTTTTTTCCCCTCAAACAAGAAGGACACGGTAGCCCTTCATAAGAGGAACAGGGCTGCTTCTAACCGGCTCAGGCTGGGGGAGGGGATTTAGTCTTGAGACATCTCAGGATTTAGACCAAATGTCTACACCCAATATCTCAAGGCTCTGTTCTTTCCCCATCAGAGCCACGACCGAGATGACCTATGCTGGGAATTTGACCTTCTTTGGTGTTCTACCAATACCGTCCCTGCGATTAAGGCAAGACCTGAATTTATTTCTTTGTGCCTTAAGTTGCAAGATATGAGTGGTTCCTTATGAGGGCCTGCAGAGGCATTCTGGCTTTCACAGTTAATGTGTACTGGAAGAAGTATCATCCCCAGCCTTCAGTGGTCTCTTTCCAAGGCATCAATTTCCTCTAGTCACAACCATCCAAATCTACCACCTCATATAATTATTGTTTCTCCTCTTTTCCTCAAGTACCTAACAGATCATATTTGCCAGTGTAAATCCTTCTACCAGCGGACCATCTCAAGTCAGATTTGAACAATCTCTGTGAAGGTTTTACCAATTACCCTACTACTTTGTGCCAGTGACAAATTGCACTCGCCCATTCCTCACTGAGGGTAATTTAGCTTCAAACATTTCATTTTAGCCTCTTTCTCAGATCACTTTTGTACCAACTATTGTGGGTTGAGTACCCTGGAAAGACTCTAAGTTGGAGATTTGCATCCAGGAAATTTATCTGAGGGTCAATATGTGTGAGGCAAAGAAGATAAGCATAATGTATCAGAGGGAAAATCTTGGCTGCAAATTTTACAAGTACCAAAGCCATCAGCTAACTTGGGGGTCTCTGCCTCTGGGATGAGCCCTTTAAAGCTGTTCTAAATTGAGAAGTCAGAGTTTGGCCTTTACCCACCGTATTGGCCAGTCATTGACTGTAGCCTGCCCGTGGACAGGGGTCATGAATTAATGAGGCACTTCCTAAAAGGGGATGACAACAGCAACTCATCAGGTGACCACCTTTCAAGATTCTGGGAGGAAATTTTCTGTCCAAGAGTTTCAAGTAATTTGGGTGATGCCCCCGCTGTGACAGTCACAGTGAGAAAGAGGAGAAGAGATGATGGGAGCAGGAACAGGGTAGGATTTGAAAAGCACCAATGATCCCAGATGCTGCAGAAATTATTTTATTGGCAACAGTGGCAAGGCTGGTTCTGACACGAGGAGTCTTGGGTAGAGAGGGAAAGCGGCCCTGCCAGGCATCATGACCTCAGAGCACTGAGCATCAAACAGCAGGGACAGCTTTCAGACTCCAAATCAGAGGGGCTCTGGGCCCCACTATGACAGAGATGCCCTTACTTCACGTGAGGTGCTTTCCTGCGCCCACTCTACCTTGGGGCTCCTGCAGGGGCATGGCATTGACAAGGGCTTTCCAGGAGGGGTGTCCTCGGCCAACACTGAGCTGAAAAGAGTTGGAAAATGACGCATGCGTTTGTCCTGGGGATGGAGGCGTGTTATAAAGTGGAACGTAAGTTGTGCGATGACCTTCCTGTTGCTGTGTCTACACCTGCAAGGTAGAGAGAGAAAGGAGGGGGAGTCAGGAAGTCTGGGGACATTTTCAGGAGCTGCTGGCATGGTTTTCCTTTGATGGACTGGAGCCATTAAATGTTTAACGAGGTCTGAGGATTTAGGATTTCCATTCTTTTGTTCTTCATCCACATTCTCTTGTAAGGAGAAGTGGCAGGAGCTTTCGAACAGGTCTATGTGGGAGGAAGTGGGAACTTCGACAGCAGAGAGGTGATTTGGTCCAGTGGAGGCCATTTGGATGTGGGAAGAGGTGGTGGTGAGAAGATGGGCTGCTTTGAACAAGCCTTCAGGCAAGAGGCTGCATGGCCCACACCCCCATTCAGCCTTCCTACTTCACTTTGAACTGCTTCAGGTAGGCCAGGATGTCTGCCTTCACAGAGCCGACGGTAGTCAGGTGAGACCAGCGCATGACAGGGACGCCATCAGGCCCCACCAGGAACTTTTCAAAATTCCAGCGGATGTCATGGACCTTTACAGGTTCCCAGGTTATGTGTTTTAACATGCCCAAAAACTCCGAGGGGTGAGGACAGGCGTGCTGGAACAGAAAGATGACAAGGAGAAGCAACATCATTTCCATCCCTGGGTGATGTGGGCTATTTTCACCCACAGGTAACCCTCTCCTCCCTGGACCTAGATAATTCAGCTTCCTGTGATTCTTAGTCAGTTCTCTGCATTACCACTCCATTAATGCACTAGCATGCCACAGGCAGTGTAGTCAAAGTCTGCTCCCTCTCTGTCTCTCCACAGGCCCCATCACAAAACCATGCCGCTGTGGGGAAGACAGGTCACTTCTCTTGCTGTTCGTTTCCTTCTCTGCAAAGTAATTCTAATGTGGTGCCCCAAGTCTTAGGTTTCTTTGGGTCAGCAGCATTTAAAACATACCTTTTGAGACCAATGTAAGGTTGCCAACATTTTATTTTATCAAGTAAGGAAAAATTTGAAAACATCATCACTTGATCATGTAATTTTTTTAAAGGTTATGGGAAGACAAATTACATAGTAGTCCTAATCTTAGAAAAAAGGGCAAGTGAGTTTATGAAACCTTTCTGACACTGACCTGTTTTCTTCAATTTATTAAGGATATATAAAAATCTCAACATGAGCCAGCTTGGCCCACAGTCCAGCACTTAGAGACTATGTACTCTGGTGATCTCTAGACATCCTCACACAATCTCTACATCTGAAAGCCAGTGATTCATAGAAGGCACTTACTACGCTGCTCTATACTTGTTGATTTCTATTTCCTCTCTAGTATGAACTCATCAGGGTGTGGGGATGTGTCTTATTCATCTTAATTTCCTCGTTATTTAACAAACTGTCTTTCAGATGGCAGGCACCGGGAAACATGCCCTGAATGAACATGTAGATGTCAAAGAACAAGAGTGGAGTGTGGTGCCAGGAAAAGCTGCCACTCCACACAACTCTGCCCACCACACAAAGCCACAGTCTGACACTAGCAGCCTAAACCTCAGGCCCGGTGGTGTTTGGAGGTCTCTCCTGAAGAGTCCAGTCCTTCCCAGGCCTGAGCCTTTGGGTCCATTTCTACCACACCCCTCTATGGCAGCAGCAGCAGGGAAGAGACTCATGTCAGGAATTCACTCACCTTCAGGAAGGTAAAGACCTTTTGTTCCTTTTCACCATTCACATTCCCTTTCTCAAAAAGCTGGAAATTTGGGACAAATCCTCTCCCTGGACGGACATACCTGCAATGAGCCATAATATTGTAAAGAAGCTCCAGAATAAAGAGAGAAAGTTAGGATGGGACCTCAGGATCTGAGGTTAGGGGAAAGGACAAAAAAGTTGTGGAGTTAGGGGCCTCCCTGGTGGCACAAGGGGTTAAGTCTCAGCACTATGAAGCTATCCACAGCTACTGCAGCATGCATGAGTTCGATCCCTGGCCAGGGAAATACCCACATGGCACAGCAGACCTCTCCTGTCTCCCCGCTGCTCCCCTCAGCAGTGTATTTCAGTACATCTGCCTGTTCTGCTCCCCACACTGTCTCTGATGGAGTTCTCTCACACAAACTCCCCTTCCCCTCTCCCCCACCTCTGGCCTACACCCCAGTTCCTGTATGCATAAATAAATCTTTTTTTAAAAAAATGTTGTAGAAACATAGTAGGCAGAGCTGGGAAGGGAAAATCAGGCCAATTTTTGGGTTTTGGTTTTTTTTTTTGGCCTTGGGCCCCACCCTCCTATTCACTTAATTTTTCTTTATTCCCCCACCTGTCCTGTCCCCACACTGTTTTCATGTCAGCTATTTCTGTACTCTTAGTCCTCCACCGTCCCTCCAGGTCTTACTGCAGGGCAGAGGGAGAATCTCTGGACACTGCCAGACTCGGCAGAGGTAGAAGTTAAAATCAGCAGACAGATGCTGCTGAGCTCATCGGCCCAACCACACAGAACACCCCCAGATAGGTGGCAATAAGGGAAGATAGGCCCTGCCTCTTCTGAGCTTTCAAGCAGGCACTTACTTTAGCCCTGGAAGGATCTCTGAGTTCTCTCCTGGTTCCTGCTTGCCAAATTGATTGCAGGGAAAGCCCAACACTACTAGACCAAAGGACCTCAGCTCATCCTGAAGCACATTCAGCTCTGCGGGGAGAGAAGGAACAACATGGTGGTGTGGCTAGAAACACTCACTGCTTTGTACAGAAAGCAGTCCCTGGTGGTGCTCATTTTGCAGAAGAGGAAACAGACACAGAGAAGGAAAGCTCTTTAGGTCAAGAAAGCTGTTAGCGGCAGGGCTGACGTTAGATCCCAGATACCCAGACATGCAAGGAGTTAAGATGCAACCTATGAAGCTATCTGCAGCCACTGCAGCACAAGTTCGATCCCCGGCCAGGGAGCAACCCACATGGCGTAGCAGACCTCTCCTGACTCGCCCACTGCTCCCCTCAGCAGTGCATTTCAGTATATCTGCCTGTTCTGCTCCCCACTCACTCTGGTGGGTCCTCTAGCCCCCCACACCTCTGGCCTGCTCCCCAGGCATAAATAAATGCATAAATAAATCTTTGAAAAAATATAAAAGCTCTTATCAGAGTATAGTCTTTCCCAAGTCTGCAGCACACAGGATCCACTGGGGGCCTTCTTCATAAATACGGATGCCCGGGTCCGATTCCAGGGAATTTTCTGATTCTGCTTCTCAGAGATGGGGCCCAGTCATCTTTATTATTCAAAAACTCACTAGGTCACTGGTGATGTGTCCATGAATTCTTACCAGGATACTGAGCTGTCAGTCCACAATAGGTGGCCACATTGACAAAAAGGACATGCTTGCCAAAATAATCTTTGAACTGAATTTTTTCCCTCCCATCAAGAGTGATGGCGTCATAATCGTAGATGGTGCCTTTCACATCTTTGTAGCAATTCATCTGGAAATTTAAAACAGGGTAATATTGGCAACAACAATTCTTGACATCTGCATAATCTTTCAAAGAATAAAACATGCATTAGCTGTGACCCAAAAACAAACAAGTGTGGATGACAGGACTGAAACTTAGGTCTTATGACTTGAAAGCCAATAGGTTTTGGGTTTTTTTGTTTGTTTGTTTTTTGTGTTTTCTTTTGAAAGTCAATAGGTTTTTTTAAGTAATAATCAGTTCGGTCTTTCTTCCCATTATCCTCGCACAGGGAAGATGCTGGGAAATGTTTGGATGAATGGAAAAGAGCAGAGATTCACAAGCTGGATGGGAGACCTGGGAATGAGGCCACGTAGAAGAGCACACTGCTATTAGACAGCAAGAAAACGAGGCTGGAACTCCCTGGTGGCACAAGGGGTCAAGACACAGTACTGTCAAGCTGTTGCCAGCCACTGCAGCATGAATTCAATCACTGGCCAGGGAGCACCCCACATGGCGCAACAGACCTCTCCTGTCTCCCTGCTGCTCCCCTCAGCAGTGTATTTTAGTCAGTCCGCCTGTTCTGTTCCCCACTCTGTCTCTCACCCCCTGCACCTCTGGCCTATACCCCAGTTCTTGTGTGCAAAAATAAATAAATCTTAAAAAAAAAAAAAGAAAACAAGGCTACCCCTGGTCTCGGGATTGAAGCATCCTGCCTGAATCCCCTCAGTGAAGAGAAGGTATTTGATTGCCCGAGTAGTTCAGGATGGCCTCGCTGCATTTCACTTTCCATAGGTCTTCTGACTTCTTACTCCATTCATCACTTGGTGGAGTAGAGAGTGCGCTGGCCAGGGAGTCAGAAGCCAACATTGCCTCTTCCTGTAAGTGGCCTTAGGTGAGCTCTGAAAACGGTTTGCTACTCACTTGACCTGGAGAACCCTAAAAGTCATGGGAATGAAGAAGTTCAAATTTTCATGTTCCTTTTAAGAAGACTGAGAAACTGCCTGGCCCATCAGGGTGTGCACATCCAAAAAGCCACCTACTGCCTGCAGAATGTTGTCAACAGAAGCAGTGTGCACCACACAGGGTTACAGGGTAGGGGGGCAGTTGTGCCCAGGCCACACAGTAGGACTGGAAGCAGGATGGGTAGCCCAACAAGAGAGCTGAATTTTTATTGCACATGCTTAAAAATGCAGAAAATAGTGCTGACCTTAAGGGTTTAGATGCAGATTCTCTGGTCATTGAGCACAGCCAGGTGAACAAAGGCCCCAGAACATATCACAGAACGTCCAGCCTCCCGCTGCCACACTGAGATGCCCCTTACTGAGAAGGAGAAGGTTGTTCCTAGACCAGAGGAGCAGGCTGCAAAGGAGGAAAAGATACCCCAGAAGATACTGAAGAAACAGAAACTTATGGCCTGGGCATAAGTTCAGCATAAAATAAATGGAAATAAAAGTGACAACAGGGGGTGAAAAAGAAGCCAACACTACTGTCAAGTTTATTTGTGAGTCTGAGCAAGTCTCATCCTTGGTCCTCAGTTTCCCCACTGGTAAAACGAAGACATTTGGGCCTCCCTAGTGGCGCAAGTGGTTAAGTCTCAGCACTATGAAGCTATCCACAGCCACTGCAGCAGGAGTTCCACTCCCAGCCAGGAAGCTACCCACACGGCACAGCAGACCTCTCCTGTCTCCCCGCTGCTCCCCTCAGCAGTGTATTTTAGTCAGTCTACCTGTTCTGTTCCCCACTCTGTCTCTGGTGAATCCTCTCACCCCCTGCACCTCCAGCCTACACCCCAACTCTTGTATGCATAAATAAATAAAATAAATCTTTAAAAAACAACAGCAACAATGAAGACATTCATCTAGATTCCTATCTTCCCCCCAGAGAGCCTTCCAGGTTTAACAAGTGAGAATCTCCTATTAACCCTACTTTGACTACTTCTCGTTCTCATGTTCTTTCCTGCTCTTACGATGAACTTGCAAGTCCAATAGTGACTCCCAGGGAAGGAGGTGGGAGCTCAAATGTCCACTGCAGGTAGGGCACTAAGATCTGCCTGGAACCTTCCCACTTCTCATATACCCAGCTCCTCAAGCCATGTACTGAGGCATCTGCGCCCCGCCTTCATCATCTGCTCAGCTATCCTATGCCTCAAGTCTGAATGTTTGAACAGAGTTCCACATAGCAAAGAATTTCTGCATGAAACTCTCATTACCTGACCTTAGGTTCGATTCCTCTATGAGGCAGATCTTGTTTTATTCTGCCTCTGTCGCTTTCCACCCAGTCCCTGGGTCTCCTGACTGCACTGTGCTCCCCAGCCTATCCTGATCCCTTTTGCCTGAATGGGGAAGCTGATGAAAGTTGCTTGTGGGTTCTTGGAGTATAAACAGGAAGTATAAAAAGGAAGCTACATATCTAAACTACCCAGCAGAAAGAAGTCAGAGAGAAACTGACTAGAGAGGGGAGAGGACAAAATCAGATAAGTCCAGACTTAAGTGAGGATTAAATTAGGCTCCTGGAAATGCAATGGACTAAAAAGGATTTTAGTCAAAAACCCTCCGCCCCCACCGAAAGAGGGCAGGGTAGCGGCCTCCCTGGTGGCGCAAGGGGGTAAGATGCAGCACTGTGAAGCTATCCACAGCCACTGCAGCCTGAGTTCCATTCCCGGCCAGGGAGCTACCCACATGGCGCAGCAGACCTCCCCTGGCTTGCCCGCTGCTCCCCTCAGCAGTGTATTTCAGTAGATCCTCCTGTTCTGCTCCCCACGTTGTCTCTGGTGAACCCTTTCATCCCCACACCTCTGCCCTGTACCCCAGTTCTTGTATGCATAAACAAATAAATCTTTAAAAAAAAAAAAAAGAAGAAGAAGGCAGGATAGAACTCAAACTCAAACTCAACATTCCCCAGACTCCTAAGCCCATTGATTTTATAACCAGCCACCAGGCTGTAACTACTCAGTGTCTTTTCTTGGGGAGAAAGTCATTTTCTTTTTGCAGAATTTGCTCCTTTCCCTCCATGCACGCACTCATACACACCAGCAAGCTGAGGCCTACATAAATGTACTATTGTATGAAAGCGGCCATATCTATCTCCGTGGTTCCTGGCCCCAAGGTGAGCAGTGGGCCCGGTGCCCCTTTTGTTACTACAATGAAAATTACTGAACAGTCTCCCAGTGGTGCAGCGGGTTGAACGCAGTGCTGCGAAGCTGTCTGCAGCCTCTGCAGCATGGGTTCGATTCCCAGCAGGCCAGGGAGATATTCACATGGCATGACAGACCTCTCCTGTCTTGCCTGCTGTTCCCCTCAGAAGTGTTTTCGGTCCATCTGCCTGTTCTGCTTCCCGCTCTGTCTCTGGTGAATTCTCTCACCCTCCCGTGTCTCTGGCCTGTACCCCAATTCTTGTATAAATAAATAAATCTTAAAAAAAAGAAGAAGAAGGGTCCTTCCTGGTGGCACAAGGGGTTAAGCACTGCACTATGAAGCAATCACAGCCTCTGCAGCTTGAGTTCAATCTCCGTCCGGCCAGGGAGCAACCCACATGGTGAAGCAGACCTCTCCTGTCTCGCCCGCTGCTCCCCTCAGCAGTGTGTTTCAGTCAATCTTCATGTTCTGTTCCCCACTCTGTCTCTGGTGAGTCCTCTCACCCCCTGCATCTCCGGCCTGTACCCCTCCTCTTGTATGCATAAATAAATAAATCTTTTTTTAAAAAAAGAAAATTACTGAAAATAATGTTGGGTATAAGAATACCAGGAGTAAGAGAGGCTCGGAAGTCAGAGACTCCTTGTAGCTCAGCTCACTTCTGACATTCATAGCTGTTCCCAACTGATTTAAGTCTGTCAGCTATGTCTCAACTACCTCTGGATTCAGCTTCCGTTAGCAAATTCTACAGTCGAGGGTCTCCACACTCAGTTATGCAGCACTGGGTAGCAGAAAAGCCACATCAATTCTCAAAAATAAGTCATCACCCTGGAGGTAATCTAGTCAGTTTACAGAATACTTTTTATGTGTAAGAATAACAGTTGGCTCTTGAAGTAGGGAGGGCAGTTAAGTCAAAATTCTGTGTATTACTTTTGACTCTCCCCAAACTTAACTACAGTCGATCCTTGGTGTTTTTAGGGGGACTGGTTTCAGGACCTCAGTGGATACCAAAATCCAAGGGTGCTCAAGTTCCTTATAACTGATCCTCCTGTCCATGGGTTCTGCCAGGGCAGCTAAAGTTGGTTGGATTGGAGAACACAGAATCCACAGACAGAAAAAAAAAAAAAACAAACAAACAAACCACATCTACATGGACCCAGGCAATTTGAACTCATGTTGCTCAAAGATCACCGGCATTGTTCACACAAATCCACAGTAAGAAAGCTGAGGCTGATAAAGGTGAGGTGACTTGTGCATGGCCACCATGTTGGATGAGTTTGCTTGGCCCTGACTGAGTCCCTCTCACTGCCATACATTTTTATCCACAAGGCCACTGAGCCATGGACTGGGAAGAGGACTGAGACCAGAAGCCAAGACTCCTAATTCCAAATATGGTCATTTAGGCCTCTGCTCATTTCTTCATATTTTATGTTTCTCTGCTAACTCTCCAATTTTATCCATCCCTAATGTTTCCACATAGTGTCCCCCTCTTCTTTGGGGGGCTTGTCGAGAGTCAAGAGCCCCCAACTCAGTGTCTCCTTCAATCCCTGATCCCCACCCATCCTCATGCCCCAGCTCTGATGAAGACAGTGATGTGGCTGGAGGGGCACCCAGTCCACCTGCAGAGGGAGAAGGGGAGAGAGGCCCCATCGAAGGAAACCTTTCTTCTCTACCCACAGTCAATTCAAAAAACTCCTCTTTGAGGAGAAGGAAAGGAAGATTTAGGAGAACCAGCAAAGAGAAAGAAAGCAGAAGTCGGCCAGGTCTCCAAGAAGGGCTGGAGGGAAGAGTCCCACCGGTGGACCCAAGAGGAACGACAGTTGAGCCCTGCCCCACCCTCTCTGAAGTCACTCACCTTGGTGTTCTCGAGCTTGGCGTCTGTCTGCACCAAGCAGGTCAGGAGAAGGGGGAAAAGATAGTAGGCCCCCAGCGGAGCAGTCATGACCCGAGATCCTGACTCTGAAAAGACTGAGGCTCGTGGGCCCCTCAACAGCCTTTTGACACCCATGCAGGCCCGGCTCAAGCCCGCGCAGGCCAATCACAGGTCGGCAAGGATTTCTGGGGCGTGGGTGGGCTCAGAGGGCCTGGAATTTCCACCGTGCCCTCGCCTCTGCTGGCCCCCGCGGGTGAGCGGTCGGCGCTCACCGGGCGGTGAGGACCTGAACTCAGCCACAGTCCGCCCGCCCGAACTGTGAAAGCCCCCCTGGATGGTCCCGGCAGATCAGAGATGCGGGCACCTCCCAGGCACCTCCCAAAGGGATGGTGTGGACATGCCACATACACTTCCTGATGTTATTATTTGAGCTTTTAAAACGTATCACAGGACGGACCACCCAGGGTCCCGCGGAGAGAACGGGGCAGCAGCTGGCCCCAAGCAAGGGAAGTTATCCCCCATATATGTGAAGGAAGCATATTAATATGCTCACTTTATAATGCCTTCAAGTGTTTATAAATCAGTAAGAAAAAACGAGCCCAAAGGGGGAAAAGGAGGGTGTTAGGGGTGTGGGGAGAATTCCAGACAGTAAGCCAAATGGCATCAGCTTAGGATGCAGTGTTCTTCCAGAGCAATAATCAAAGAGATGATCTGCATTTATCAGATTGGCCAAAGTTAAAAGAAACCTTAGTTCCAGTTGGTGTAGCAAGCTCTGACACAGTAGGGGGTGGGGTGACCAGGGAGAGCGATCACTTTCTTTTTTTTTTTTTAAAGATTTATTTATTTATGCATACAAGAACCGGGTAAAAGCCAGAGGTGTGGGGATGAGAAGATTCACCAGCGACAGAGTGGGGAACAGAACAGGTGGATCTACTGAAACACACTGCTGAGGGTTGCAGTGGGGGAGACAGGAGAGGTCTGCTGTGCCATGTGGGTAGCTCCTTGGCCAGCGATGGAACTCATGCTGCAGTAGCTGCAGACAGCTTCATAGTGCTGTGCTTAACCCCTTGCACCACCAGAGAGGCCCAGACAACTACCACTTTCTGGGGGATAACCTACCATTCTGAATACTGTCTTCTTTCAATGCAAATAATTTTTTTGAACTTTTAATTTGAATGTAATTAAAAATTTATGGAAGTTTCCAGCTGTCCTCTTCATGTCCTGGAGGTGCAGGCCCCATGAAGGATCGTGGAAATGAGGCATAAGTTCCCCTAAGAATGAAAAGTACTTGTCATGGGCTGGAAGAACCCATGTCCGCCCTCCATCATTCCCCAACAATTGCTCCATAGGTTCAGCTAAAATTTTGAATTGATAAGTTGATGATGCAGAGCCCCAGGAATTGCTGGGTTTCTCACATAAATAATGTACTTAACCCCACCAACCTCCTGGAGACTCAACCAGACCCTCCTCCTTCCTGTCTACAGTAGTTTTGCTTAGGCCACACTTGCTTCCCAGCTGGTTACCCTCCTGCACAAGCTTTCCGCCACCTGTCCCCCTTTTAACTCAACTTTTGCCTGGACTACCCAAAAGTACTCTGGTGAATTCTTTCTCCTAGAGAGTCTCCAGACCCACAAGTTTGGGGTGACGGGGGCGGGGGGAGGGTGTTGTAACAGAGTTACAAGAAAGGGGTGAATTCAGCAATCACTGGGCTTGAATGAGATAACAAAGAGATATCTGAAAAAAATCTGCATTAGTTTTCCCTTTGCCGGTCCCCCACGCCCTCTCCCCTCTCCCACGGGGGTGGCCCAGCAGTTCAGCTCTACTAGCACTTCTGCTTATTGAAAACATGGTGTCTTCTTTCCAATCCGCCCCTCCACCGGCCCTGGCTCTGCCAGGTTCGCCAAAAAGTACCTCGGATGGGGTTTAGCTCTTGCTGCTGGGGGATCCTGGGCATTTGTGAGTTCTCTTGGAAAACAGAACTTTTTGTTATCCAGATTTTTAATCTCTTCCAAGAGGTCTCAGGTCGAGGGGGGAGGAGACCAAAGTGATGGCATCTGACCAGGCCACCAAAGCCCTTTAGGACAGGCTTCCTGTTTTATCACTTCCTGCCCAAGAAGCCTACTCTCCTGCCCTACTGTCAACCACAGTGGAAAGAACTACAGAGATTAAAATCTCAAGCCCCCTCTCACTCCCTTATTCTACCCAACCATGTGAATTTGGGCACGGTGACCTCCTTGACTCTAGTGCTCCTGTGAAAAGTTGGGAGAAGAATAATATGAACTCCCAGGGCTAATTTTGAAAAAGAGGAAATAATTCAGTTAAACCCTTAGCACTGGACCTGGCCCAAGGTCAATGCCCCTTCTTAATTCAACTGAGTAACATAAGTACAAATAGAAAAACTTACTTAGCGCCTTCCTGGTGGTGCAAGGGGTTAAGATGCAATCTATTAAGCTGCCGCAGCCACTGCAGCACAAGTTTGATCCCTGGCCAGGGAGCAACCCACATGGCACAGCAGACCTCTCCTGACTCGCCCACTGCTCCCCTCAGCAATGTATTTTGATCAATCTGCCTGTTCTGTTCCCCTACTCTGTCTCTGGTGCATCCTCTCACCCCCCCACATCTCTGTCTTGTACCCCAGTTCTTGTATGCATTAATAAATAAATCTTTTTTAAAAAAAAGAAAAGCTGATTTACCCAAAGTTATGTGTTTAGTGAGGCTGGAGTTACACGCCGCTCCCCCTTGCTGTTATGCATGCCTTACTTTCTTAGCCATTGTGTCTTTACTCATCTCACAACTCAGGGCAAGAACAGAAGAAAAAAGTCCATCATAAACTCTACTTCAGTGGCTGGATCAAGTGGTCTAAAATCTCTGCCTTCACCTCTCTGTGTCCAATTGTCTCAGTTTCCCCGGAAGCCAGATGTCTCATCCACGAGAAAAGAAGGTTTACGAGCTTAGGCTCAGCTCCCATTGGCAATGTAAAAGTGGGGTTCAGGAAGGGGCAGTGACTTGGGCAATGTTCCTCAAAGGTGCAGACATAGTCCATAAACCTGAGGTTTCTTTCAAAGCACTTGTCTTTTCATGCCCCATAATAAATAAGTTAGGACATGGAGGAAAGTTCGAGAAGGTTTTCCATTTAATTTTCATCCTTGTATATTCTTAACCTTCTGACCTCCTTCTCCAAACATGATGACGTTTGGGGTTCACATCTGATCTAGGCTGACTGTGACCCTGAGTTTTCACTGAGGCATTTGGCCCTGGAACACAAACTCTCTGAAGATATGTCACAAATGCCAAGCTTTCTTCCCCCAACCTGCTCCAGCTTCTTAGAAGTTAGGATGGAGAGGTGGGAGAGGAAGGATGTGTACCTCCATAAGCAGTGTTCTTGTCTATTACTTCTGGCTTAATGACCAGGGGAAGGGCGTGGGAAAGAGAGCTCTGTGTCCATGCTTAACCACAGAAATCTGAGTACCCCACACCACTGAAAACCTGATGTCCTCCTACCTGGAAATCCTACACCTCAGGCCCTTTGCTACTCCCAGGGAAAAAATAAATCGCCCATATCACCAACATACACACAGCAAACCATGACCAATCACCCCATCGAACTGTGGAACACTGAAAACACCTCCATCGAGCTCAGCTTATCCATTTATTTAAAAAGGGGGTTGGGAGCCTCCCTGGTGGCGCAGGCGGTTGAGCGCTGCTCTGTGAAGCTGTCTGCAGACTCTGCAGCGTGGGTTTGATCCCGGCCGGCGGCGAGAATCCCACATGGCGAAGCAGACCTCTCCTGTCTTGCCCGCTGCTCCCCTCAGCAGTGTATTTCTTCAGTTCTGTTCCCCACTCTGTCTCCAGTGAATCTTCTCACCCTCCTGTGCATCTGGAATGTACCTGGTTCTTGCATAAAAATAAATCTTAAAAAAAAATAAATAAATGGGGGTTGGGGGCCTCCATGGTGGCCAAGGGGTTAAGTCTCAGCACTATCACCACTATAGCCTGAGTTAAATCCCAGGCCAGGGAGCTGACCCACCATGGTGCAGCAGACCTCTCCTGTCTCACCCGCTGCTCCCCTCAGCAGTTTATTTCAGTAGATCCACCTGTTCTGCTCCCCACTCTGTCTCTACACCCCAGAGAACTTGTATGCAAAATAAAAAAATAAACCTTTAAAAACTAAAAAATAAAAAGAGGGTTGGAACAGAAAATCACCCAAGTCCTTTAAAAGGCTGACATTCCTAGCACATTTTCTCAGCTTTTGAGAGATTCTGGTCACCACCGCTGAAACCGACCTGACCAACTTTTACCCCAAGAATGATGGGGAAACAAGAGTAAGAATCAAGAAACTTTCCCAAATGCAAGCTAGTGTGTGTCTTACAGATAGTGGTTTCCAGATCACAGCTGCATAGGAGAAGCAGATGCAGGATACAGTGAAACAGTTGCCTCGTCCAGGTCCAAGACTGGGCCTGGTCACATCCACAGCACTGCCCCCCAGCAGCCTCTGCCGCAGTCAGACTGAGAAGAACAAAGCAGAGACTGGGACCCACTGGCCTCTCCTCTCCCACCCCGTAACCCTTCCTTCAGTCAGTGGCCGCTCATGAAAGGCATCCAGGCCCATGGGAAAACACCTGGACTTGCCCTTCCTGTTTCAGTAAGGATATGCATTTCACCCAGAAACAGATAGAAGTAGATGTTCTGGCCAAATAGTATCTTTCCAATTCCAAGTTTGTTCAGTCTTTGAAACAAATACAGATATCTCTAGAAGCTCAGAGTTTCTCTCTGACCCGGAGCTACTGGTTTGGAGCCCATCTGAAAAACTATAGCCCCCCTGCAAGTCCAGGGCCCCAGAAGGACTCCCCAAAGGGACAGCCACACAAATCAGTGTTCAGAACCCCATAGATTCAGATCATTCAAATTATGCTTTGTGGGGCCTCCCTGGTGGCACAAGGGGTTAAGCACTGCACTATGAGGAAATCCGCAGCCTCTGCAGCACGAGTTCAATCCCCGGCGGCCAGGGAGTAACCCACAAG